AACACAACATCTGATCCTGTTCTGTTGAAGTGGATGGGACTTCAGCCACTGTAGGATTGTCTTCAGAGGTCTTATTTATGCTCAGCTGTTTTGGAAAATCTGTCACTTGGTACTTCTGAATACAGCTCCACTGACATCTTCCATTCGTAGCCATAGTAGGCATTCTAGTGTAGGGAGACTTCTAGCAGTCAGGAGTATTTAACACAACATCTGATCCTGTTCTGTTGAAGTGGATGGGACTTCAGCCACTGTAGGATTGTCTTCAGAGGTCTTATTTATGCTCAGCTGTTTTGGAAAATCTGTCACTTGGTACTTCTGAATACAGCTCCACTGACATCTTCCATTCGTAGCCATAGTAGGCATTCTAGTGTAGGGAGACTTCTAGCAGTCAGGAGTATTTTAGCCTCCATGTTGTCTAGGCTTGCTCTGAACAGAGTTAGCCAACTGGATGGGTAAAACTCTAGTGGTCACTTTATAGTCTCACTGTTGCTACTACTGAGAGAGCTCTACTTGGTCTAGTAGAAGAAAAATGATTGTGCCGGCAGCCACAGCAGGTAGAAGTAAGAGCTAGGTGGGCAGGGGTGATTGGGAGATGTCCTACAGTTTTTTGTGAAGCACTGGGTGTTTGACATAGTGGACTATATTGGCCTTTAGTCTCTTGCAATTCAATTCTGTTGCCTTTGTTTTACCAATGGCTTAATTTTTTATGTCCAGGCTGACACAAAAAATTACCACTAGAACGTGATTGTCGTCTGAAAAGTGACTGTAAAATGGCTTATTGAAATCCTCCGCTGCATTGTGTATAATCTTGCACCACGTTTTAACATAAAAGTTGGTAAATCACAGGTGGATTATAGCCATGTCAATTTAAAATAAATTTAGTTTTAAAAGTAGGAATCCCTAGAGAGTGATTACAAGAAATTGCAGATTGTGTATATATTTGATGTAAACATGTATTATAAGGTATATGGGCAGACAAAATTAAATTTGAATGTTTCACTTTATGAATTTCCTGTTCCTTGAGCACTTGATTTCTCAGTCTTACTGTTTGTTGTTCTCAAGCTAAGTATATTTTTCCCATCATTTTGATCATTTTATGTTGTATAGATAATAAATTATGCATTGGACATATTTATAAGGTCTCTATTTCCATGTGTGGTGTCAGGAAGGATTAAATGAAAGTTTAGTTTAGCACAGTGGTGAAAAAAATAATGATAATAGCACTCTGTATAGGTTTTCTCTGTGAGTGCTGCTGATTTGACCATGACTTGACTGTTACTGCTCTGGTGAATTCCTCTCCTCCCCCCTCCAGTAGTTATAAAAGTGAATCTATTTCTACTGAAATAAAGAGCCACTTTTAGTAGATGCAGACAGTCCAGAAAAATAAGTATTTTTGCTTCCAATTTATTTACTATAATTTTTTGGATCAGTTTCTCAGTTCCATGTACTGCTAATTAATACAGTAAACTTCTGATAATCCGGCACCTTTAGGACCCAGGGGGTGCCGGATTATCAGATATGCCGGACTATCAGAAGGGAGGGCTATGAGGGGTCTGGAGTGGAGTGGGAGGGGATGCCACCCCAGACCCCTCATAGCCCCCCCTTACGATAGTCAGGCTCTGCCCCAGGAGTCCCTGATTCAGCCGCTGCTGGTCAGTTTCAGCAGCGGCTGAATCGGGGACCCCTGGGGCAGAGCAGCTGGGGTCCTGCTGGGTTGGTCCCGCAGCCCCGAGGGGCAGTGCTACCAGACCAACCCGGCAGCACCCCAGCTGCTCTGCTCCCGGCTTCCCCGATTCAGCTGCTGGTCAGTTTCAGCAGCAGCTGAATGGGGGAAGCCTGTCCGGCTGCCCCAGCACTTCCGGGTTCCTGATGGTGCCGGACCATCAGGAGTCCCGGAGCATTGGATGCCGGACTAATGGAGTTTTACCGTAACTGGTATCTCTCTATCACTTGAGTGAATTGTTACATGTGAGAGGAAGAGAAAAAAGATTAATATCAAAAACATATCTGCCACTTTCTGGTTTTTTCCCCCTCAAAACGGAGCTAGAGAACAATTTTCAGGACCAGTCAGCAGTCGACATTACTATCGTATAGCACTAGAAGTTCTTGGAATTTGAGTTCCTTTTCAGATTGTATGGACTATCTAATGAATGTCAAACTTGGTTTTGGGCTGCATTTCAAAAAGCTAAGAATTGTGTTCAAAACAAGTCATTCATTTTGTTAATAAGGAATATGCCATCTACAAAGTAAATTATTGGACATAAAAGTAGTGATTATCTATAGGGAGCCACATACACTAGTGATTCTTCCAGGAAGAGTTTTTTTGTTTTGTGTTAAGTGTGGTTTTTAGGAAGTCTTTAGAGTGTGGCTATTTTGTAACTAAAAAAATTAAGTTTTAAATGTGAGTAGCCATTGCTATTTCTCTAGCAACTTCCATCCTGAAGGAGGGTGGGCGGGGGTGTGTGTAAGTGAAAATATATTTAGGGATATATGCCATATACCAAGCCACCTCTTTTTTTTTACAGCAACTCTGCACCAATAGCACTATCCTGCCACTTCTTAGAAGGAGAAAGTGAAAAATAACATATTCAGTTGAATGTTATGGGCTAGTTAGAGAGGCAGAGTACAATTTACCCTAGTTGACACTTGGCTGGGACAACTAGGTTACCGCTATTAAACTCATGAAAAGTATTGTGGGAAACTGAGAGGTTACATGTATTCAGGACCTAGAATTTGTATAGGATAGAAAAGAAAGTATTTCCAATAAAACAATATGCTTTAGCTATATACTGGGCCTTTGATGCATTACTCTGACTTTAAGGAAAAGAGAGCCACCTACTGAATCAGCACTACTACTACTACTACTGCCTAAATCACCTGGATTTTCATTCTCCAGTTCTAGAAGAGCTATGTCTGCTTAGTTTGTGAGAGCTGGTGAGGTCATAGCCTGAGATGGTATGGTTACAGGCCTTTGAGGGAGCTCATTTGAAGTCCAGAAGAGAGAAGTTAGAATCCTTTTTTAAAATTAAATATCAGTGTTCTATTTCAGCATTTTCTGGTGAGTGAAAATTAAAGCCAGGAACTGTAAACTGCCAGTATAATGCTACTGCTCTGGAGGGTGTGTGTGTGTGTGGGGGGGGGGAGTGTACACGCATGTGCGCGTGCGAAATCACCAGGTAGCAATGAAGTCAGTCTATTCTTTCAGCATCTGTGTTAATGTGAACTCGCACTTCATGCTGAAAACAAACTAGTCCTTGTTTATCACAATTGTATCTCTCCTTTAATCTCTAGGTAAGTTACCTACTCTTTGTAGCAATGCTTTATACCATGTTCTCTCTTCACTCTTTGGTTTGGCTTGGCTCCCGGTATATGTGCTGATTTAGTCTCAAGGCCTTGCAGCTTATGTCAGAAGAGACAGGGCAGTCAAGTGTTCTTCCACACAGCACAGCGAAACATCACCAGAGCGTGATATAATTAATGGCAATATTTAATCATGCTGCAGTTCAAGCAGCTATCAGCTTGGTGTAACCGTCAATACTTAATTACTTTATAAAAGATGGTATTCTATTTTAAAGTCTAATGTGTTGGTATAGTGTG